CGACGTTGACAAGGCGGACGCCCCGTGCAACCAGGAGTGCGAGGGCGTGAGCCATGGCACTGGCATCCACACCGACATCATGCGCCTCTGCAGGATGGAGGGCGATGAGTAAGGGCTGGCCGCTATTGTAGATATCACCTTTAAACAGGTGTTGTGGTAACTGCGGCAAAGAAGTTGTGCAGGGATGGCCTCAATAGAACCTTTGAGGAAGATCCTGCATGTTTGGGGTAGTGTTGCTCTGTTGATTGCCTCCTTGACCCCCGGAGGAACGACTCAGAGTTTTCGTACAGCTGTTGAGGGTTAGCTTCTTAGGATGTCGTCTGGTTTTTGTTTCGCGCGAAGGGACGTTGCAAATGCCCTCGCGTTTATATAATCATGCAGAGGCTAAGCCAGCTTTTTCTTGCAGTCGCTTTGCGAAGCTTTTCCTGCATGGCTGGATAAATGTGAAACCCGGAACACCTTTAATAAGGATTGCCGGATTTTGTGGCCTTTCAGGGGAGGCCTTAAAAACCCCGAGGCACGAATTCACTGCATGGATGTTTGGGACGCGCCCGCATAGGGCACTACAGTCCGCAAGACAAGACAAGACTTGCATGGTCAGGCGTTTGGCAACCGTCACCCTACCTACCTCGTCTCACCCCAAAGACTGCAACGTCGCCCTCGCAGACCACTGTGTCCTGCAAGTCTTGCAGCGAGACCAGACTGCCGTGCTCGGAGTTGTCCTGCTTGAACCTGCTTGACTCTGTTCCGCGCAGACCTGGTACAGAAAACCGGAAGTCAGCAGTGCTGGCAGGTCTTGGGTCGAGGACCAGGCACCAGTGCTGCAGCTGCTCCCTTGGGTCAAGCCGCTCCCATTGAAGCCTGGCTTCCTGTGTGGAAGCCTTGGTCCCCGGCACGTTGCCGGTCCTCGCCGAAGTGACCCCTTGAAGTTGCCGAGGGCTGCAGCTGCTGCGAGGACGGCAGCTCTTCCCGGAGCCCCGAGAGCCTATCCCCACCGAGTCCCACAAAGGGTGCATCTGGAGAAGCTTCCGTGCAGGTTTCCGCGCCGAGCCATACTCCCAGGAGGGTGCCGGCACGGTGCCACGATATGCTCCAGGATCGCTGTTGTCATCTCCTGATTCCCCTGATGTCCCGGATCGCAGTGTGCTATCCAAGACCTTGGCCTCAACCCCAGGCGCACGGTCTGCAGCATAAACTTCACCAGAGTCATGTCGGCGCGGAGGATGTAGCTCACGAGGCGACCATGTCGGCGGCGGCCGGCGGGGTTCCATTTGTCGCTCCCGTGGCTTCCGTGGCGAAAGGGTCCGGGGGCAAGCGCGACAGTTCGAAGTCCGGATCACCTTGATCCAAAACTCTGCTCAGTCGCTTCCATGGTGTGCGGTCTTCAGGAAGTCGGCAATCGGGATGCACAGGCAGTGACCCTTGACATCTTAGCAATGGGCATTTCGATGCCGACAGCTTCGAAGGCACTACTCTTGGGAAAGTTCAGGATGGCTTGCAGCTTGGGCTCAATCTTGGCCAGGCTGAACAGGAGGGGAATTTCACAGTTCTCGTGCAGCACCCTGGTGCCGAACAGACAGCACGTACATGTCTGGTGATCGAAAGCAACGGGCAGGTACGCATGCTCAGAGCTGAGCTGCACGGGCCCAAAACCAAACTGAAATCCTTCCTTCTCGGCCCTAGTCTTGACACTCATCTTGTGCTGGTGCAAAAGGCGAGCCTGGCTTTGAAGCCATCAGCCACTGCAAACGGTCTCTCGACAGGCGGTGTCCAGCACTGCAAATCCGGCGAAGTCGGCCGGCTTGGTGATGAGAACTTCCGCCACAGGAAGGACGCGGCTCAGGGAGGCATTGCAGACAAAAGTCGCGAAGTAGCTCCCGAACTCCTGTTCGGCGTCGTCCAAGTTCTGCTCCTGAGTTCCTTCGGAATGGACGATCATCGAGCCGGACGCCTTGCCTCCTTTCGGGGGCTGCTTTGACCGAGGCCTTCGGGCTGCCCTTCGGCCGGCCGGTCTTTGAAACACGCGGTGTCCGCTGGGTGTTGGTAGTCGAGGTCGTGGTCGAAGACTCCGAAGTTGAAGAAGACGGGTCTCCCTGGCGGCGGTGCGGCACATACATCCAGACAGCTTGGTCCACCTCGCGCTTCGTAGGGGCACGGCTGTCGTAGAACTAGTCATGGCCGCAAACCATAAACACCGACACAGCGGCACCTCGCTGCTGGAAGTCGCGGTTGTCGCGTTGCAAACCCCGCCAAGCTGGCGGCAAAAAATCGCCAGCGCTGGGCCTGCCGGGATTCTCGAAGTCACTCGGCCATGCGTCAGCACGTTCCACTGCCAGCCCAGGAGGAGGCCGAGGGACCTGCGATCTCGGAGCACTGGTTCCACGGGGAGTCCCCACATCTAGGAAATCATCCAGAGTGGTCTCCAGCCGGGCACCTTCAGCGCCGTTCATAAGTAGCATGCAGGCTCCGCTGCCAGCTTACACTGCTTCGTGCTTCAGATTTAAAGCAGGCAGAGAACGTGAGTGCAGGGCCCATGTTTTTCTCGTAGAAGCGAACGATGGCTCAACGGCCGTCTTGAAAGGTAAGCCAATGGCCGTGCGCACAATTGCGAATGCAAAAACCCCTGATCGAAAAAACGTGCGTGCAATGCTGAGCATCGCTCGCAAGATTAAGGGAGGTTTATACTCCTTCACCACAAGCTGGCAGCAAACGCCGACGGCTTATCCCAAAAAACTCCACTGCGTGTGCCCCGCACTGGGCTCAGCGTTGTTTGATCTCGGGCACACCAAAAGCTTGCTCAGGCCCTTGACATTGCAATCTCCCTCGCATAGCATGCAACAGGAAACCTCAAGGTTACTCGGGAGGCTTCGCGTTCCCCCTCCCTTGATTCGATCGCCAATCTTCCGACACACCAACACCGTGACTCTAAGATCTGCCAAGCTTCTCAACACAACATCCCCATTCACCTGGAACAAGCACAGCCTCTAATTCAACCGGGATTCGGAAATCAGCTCCGGACTGACACACAGCCTGGGCAGCCTCGGCACTACCTTGAAGAGCTCGTCGATGTTGCTTTTGCTTCGCGACCAGCGGGCATACATGGTCAGGCTCTTTGCGCTCCCCCCGCCTTAAGCTTTTGAGGTCGGAGTTTAGGGCTTGAGGTTAAAACTTCGAGTCGACAAGAGTCAAGAGCTTAGGGAGGGTTTGGGGTGTGGGTAGGCAGGCCCGCGCCCGCCCGGCCAGAGACGAGCGAAGAGCATCGCCTCTGCCTCTAGCCAATGTGCCAAGGCCAAGTCGAGGCTTGCCTCCTCCGCCACACCCTGCAGCCAGGAGACCGACCCCGCCCTGGTCAGTGCATTCCATCAAGCGATCCAAGATGCCATGGGACCATTAGCCGGGGACTCAGCAGGCAGCATTTGCACAGTGTCAGACCCAGGATGCCTCCCCCACCAGCCAAAGGGGGCTGCAACCTCGTTTCTTTGCTCCGGCAGCATGCTGGATGCCTCCATCCCTAAGCCAAGCTGGTGACTAGCTGAGCCTACGCCTACGCCTTGCCGTCGAGCTGTGCCGAGGACGGCTTACTGCACGAGATCTTGGACGGCAACATGCAGGAGGCCCGCCAACTACCTGAGCCGGTTTGCCGCGTTCTTCGCAAGGCCGAGCCTCCACCAGGAAACATGGAAGACGGTCCTCGACGATCTGGACGCCCGGTTCGGCAACACCTTCTACTTGAACGCTGGCGACCCCGTTTACCAGGCCATCTGTGAGCCGGTTCTTTGGGAAATCACGAAGGTGCGAGCGGCATGGACACCTCAAGCCCGTCGCCTGCCACAAAGGAGAAGCCAAATAAGAGGATAGTCGAGTCAAGTAAGGCGATTGTTGGAAAACGTGATTGGGACATGGAAATTTTTAATGTTTGGAGGTATAATTCTCCAAAGAGACCACACAGTAACAGCCCGCCTGCAGGCAAGGGACAGCCTTAGACTGAACCCTAAGCCTGAAAACCAGTGACCCAGTGAGGTGTCGTGCATTCGAGGACTGGTTTGCAAAGACATGATTCAAGCAGAACAGGGGGGTCTGATTTGGACCACCGAGAACCACCGGTTTCAATTGAAACCAGCTCAAGTCGGCTGTTACAATATGTAGTGATTTGGACCTTTCAAATCGGCCGTTGAGCCATCGTTCGCTTCTGCGAGAAACATGGGCCCTGCACTCGCGATTCTTTGCTTGCTTTAAATCTGGAGCACGAAACAGTGTAAGAAGTTCATCATTGTCTTTTCTACAGCTGGACAGTTGGCTGGCCGGGGACAACATTCGGTCGATGTTGGCCTTTTGGCACAAACATCTCGCAACAGCAGGCAGGCAGCAGGCGTCGCTCGGGGTGCTCGATTAGTTGTTCGGCTGCATAGCTGAACAGCCTTTGTGGCACAGCACGTGGATGTATATGTACTGCGTAGAGACATTCAGGGCGAACGGGCAAAACAGGACCGCCCCAGCCCATTCCGAAAATCAAGTCAAGCCGAGTCCCACAAAGCATCATTTCTGGAGATGGAGTCACTGGAATTTTCGGGTGTTTGCAAGGTCGGTTCCGGGCACGACAGCCGTGACGAGGCTTGTGAGACCAGGATTGGCCTTTATGGCTGAGAGATTGCGATTGTCCATGGCCTTGCATCTTGACGTGTCCACGTCCCGGATTGCATGTTAATGATAACTTTTTGGCTGCGAGATCAGGGCAGGGTCGTTGTCACTCATGGCAGAGCAAGTATGCTTTGGTAGAAAGCAACAGCAGACAATAAGCCAACATAAACTGGAAAGCCCTTTAATAAAGCATTTAGCCTGAATGGTTGACTTGCACCCCTTGCAAGACTGCAAAGCCCATCGAGATGAGGTTATTTAGCCAACTTCTACTCCGCAACCCGCAGTCAACATTCATCCTGAACAAACCGAGTCCCACATGCACGAGCTCCAAACCTCGGCACCTGGTTGATTTGGGCGCGCTTATGAGATTCTTAATTCTGGGCGCCGGATCTTCGCGAGCATCTGCCGAAGATTCCTCCAAGCCGGACACAACGGCGCAGCCAGGACTTGAATTCGGATTTAGGACTTCGGGTGGCTTAGGGGGCTTAGGGGTTTCAGTGCGACCACGTTTCTCTGCAACTGGCTTCTATCTCTCTGCACGCGTGAGGCAGTCACTGTCCATGTATGGTGTCGCATCATGCGTGCTCCTGTACCTCTAGGTCCACTCCTTGCCTTTACCGATCCTAGTGTGCTCTGCATATCTGTTTGTTTCGGCACTCGGCCAACTCTACCTGATCCGATTGTCCTATTTTGCTGTTACAGTGCTCATAAGTGGAAGATCCTGGCAAAAGGCTGGAGGTCCATGCTACGTCACCAGAAGCTGGGCAGCACCCGAAGGCACATACCAACTGCGACTGATTTCACCAAGGATGAGCGTATCTTGGACCCGCACGGTACCAGTGGTGGCACTACTCTGCCTCGCAGGCAGTGGGTTGTCATTCTGCCTTCTTGAGGGAGTTGTGCCGCATGTTGACTCAATTTGGTTGTCTTGAACGGCATAACGTGGTGGTGTACGACCTGCCGTTGCGTCTGGGGCTGTTGACCCGCGAAAACCCCAAAACAAAGGGAGACTCCCAACCTTGAGCAAAAGCATGTAATGGGGATTGAGCCTTTACCCTTATAGTAGTGAGAACGGCATGAGTACTAGCACCCATTTGACCTTGTAGGATCCTCGGTCCAAAGCACTGTACACGCGAAAGGAGCGGGGCATGGTTAAGCCTTTATACATAAAGAAGTGGCAACCCTACGAAAAGTACTCGATCCCTCACTCGCGCCCTCGTGTCAGAAGCCACAGCAAGCACGGTCCCCCTTGTTCGTTGCCCAGGAACTTAATCTAAGGAACAGGGACATGCATGGACAGACAGCAGATATTGTGGGCATTCCTTATTCTTCCGGTGTGCTTGCCAAGAACCTGGCATCAGGCCTCTTCGGGCTGCTGCACATGCGGCCTTCGATGTTGCCGATGACTGACTCAGTCCAAGGCACCAACCGTCCTCATGAGACTTGCCAGCCCGTTGTCTGGGACTTCATGTGTATTTACATGCTGCTCATGAAGGTCTTGGAGGAAAGTGCCGAGAACTCTGAACACAATCTGAACGCAGTGCTCTAGTATCACGCGGTGTGTCCTTCGGAGGTCAGGAGGTTGCAGGAGCCGCTGCCTTGAAGGAGGCTCCTCAACTGATTTCTGAGCATCTGCGGGTATCGCTGGTAGTTTGCATGACAATTTAAGGTGTTTTGGTTCTGTTCTCAGGTCAGTACACTTCGCGAAGCAGTTTTTCGAGGCGGGAATGCTTTGGGTAATCAGCTGTAGCATGGAATCGAGGAATCCCAGACGAGGCATGTATCTTCGCTCTGTGGCATGGCTCAGGACAGGATGATGTCCTCAAGGCGGCTGGGGACAGTGTTGCTGGAACTATTCGTGGCTACGCGAACCTTGAGTAGCATAGCGGTTCCGAAAGCCTGCAGAGACGCATTTTCTTCTGGAGCTGTTGGTGCGACAAGGTCTGACTGCAAAGCACTTCAGCAGAAGCTTCTCGGACTTCACCTGCCTGGCAGGCGGTCGACATGCTGAAACAGGAGTTGGTGCTCCTTCGCCAGTCCAGGTGCGGGGCCTACCGATTGGAGAGGCTTCGAGCCAGGCAAAGTCAAAGGTTGCAAGCATCAATCTGGTCACAGACACACACACACACACAGAGACAGACAGAGTATCGTCGCGCAGGTCCGGCGGTGATTACCCAGCCGCCGGCACTGTCACTTCATCGCCGTCCACTGTGCCGCCTGGAAAAATTCAAAGGCTCGGGCATGGAACAAGACAAGGAGTCAGCACATCGAAGATCCCGAACGAAGCTCCGAACCCTTGCCATCTCCTCAGCGCCGCTGTCGCCGACTGGCTGCTGGCTCCCGCCCCTGCCGAAGCAGCGCCGCTGCAGAATCCACGCACAGAGCCACAAGGCATAAAATGAGAATGCTTTCTTAAGTAAATGTTCGAAGTAGCACCAGGCTGTATTCATTTGTGGGTGGTCCCGTTCACCATGTGTCGATGACCGAGGGACGCACCACCTCCGTCCACAGTGTCTGGAGCTACCCAGATGCAGACGTGAAGAGTCCCTTGAAGGGCATGTCAGGACATCGAGCTGCGGTCAAAAGGCTGGTATTTTCAGTTTGATCCATGGGAATAGAGTTACAGGGGATTAGCTAGGAGAGGCCGTTCGTGTTCTCAGCACTGAAATTGAGATGTCTCCATGCCTTCGGTTGAACTATCTCATTCATTTCATCCTGAAGCGAAACATTGCGCGGAGATGTTGACATTGATCCCACTGCAGCTGCTCGTGACCCTCACTGACGATTTTTGCGAAAGATACAGTCATCCCAACAGGGAACGGTGTCCGAGACATTTGGGGCCTGATCCGGACATGCTCTCTGTTCCGCCACAAGACTCAACTGAGGATCAGCCAAAGGGCCAGAATGGGTTGCGGTGGGACAGCAGTGTACTGAAGCGGCAGGCAGCTTGGCCGCAGAACAGCTCCCGATGTCCATGAGCCTATGAGAAAGGATGGTGTTGTAGTTGTCGACAGGGGGTACCTGTTTCGTTGTTGTTGTCTTCTGTGCGTTGGTTTGGAGGGGTTTGCTGGCTGGACTAGAGTCTGGGGTGATGCACTTTCTTCTTGGTCTTGCTAGGTTGTCCGCTTGGTTTCTGTTGTTTGGTTAACCTTGGTTTGGCTTTCCGGCATTCTGACATGCGCAAAGTTGCCCGAAATATGCGAGTACAGAACAACAACATTCTAAGTTCTACCCCAATCAACATACTGTATGCGTACATACATAGATGTAAATATACGAAACGAGTAAATAAGTAACATAAGTAAATAGTAGGTGTATATGAATATATATATATAGCTCTCTGCAGGACATTGGTTTCTAGATTTGCAGATTTGCACGCCCTAAGCTTCCAGAGATTCCAGATTCCAGATTTGGACGCTTTTATAAGGTTTCCAGATTCCAGATTTCCAGAAATCTGGAATGTGGAAACCTAGACTATGCTAACTTTGTCATCGCAACTCTGGAATCTAGAAACTTAGGGCGTGCAAATCTGGAAACATAGGTCGTGCAAATCTGCAAATCGGGAATCTTGAGTCATGCGGCCTGTCAAATTGGAAATCTGGAATCTGGAAGCCTGGGGAAGGCAAAAGCATGAGCATCAGCCGCAGCCGGAGCGAGCATCATGAACATCAATTGATTTCGGGGTTGGTGCCCAAAGCAAAACCGCTTGGTCCGTTGCCTGGGGCGTGTAAAAGCATGAGCATCAGCCACGGCCAGAGCCAGCATTATGAGCATCAATCGGTTTCGGGGCTGGTGCCTAAAGTAAAACCATCTGGTCCGTTCAGTTCCCATCCAACCGAAGTTTTGTATCAAAGGGTCTAGTGATAAGGAACATGTGCTGAGTGCGCAATTGTACACAATCAAGTGTGACTCTAAGCCTACTGATCTTTTGCAGTACACGAAGCCATGGAAAATTTCCAGTTGAGTTCTGGTTTATGAGTGACGGATTCCTATGAAGGAATTCTGGAACCTACGAGTAGAAGAATAGCCTGCAAAATACATTATAGAATGCCCCTTGTATACTACATTGCAAAATTTCATATACAATACCCTGGCTAATACCATAGGAATCTAACCCATATACCCTATATATACTTTGCGGAATACCCTTTAGCCTATAGAATACCTTGTCGCATTCTTTCCTGTATATACACTCTACATACACTCTATAGAATACCTTTTGTCCAATACCTTATGAAATATCCTATAGATACCCTATAGAATGCCCCATGATATACTTTGCTTCTCTCCTACATACCATACATAAGCCTTATAGGCTTCAATCTGGAACGTTGTATAGAATGCCGCATTGCAAACCCCCCGACATGATACCCCCCATTTACCCGAAGAAAGCCCTATAGACAAGGATTTTCAGAGGAGAAATTAGGAGGAGCCCAAGATTTTGTAGTTTATTGAGCAAGGGGGTTCTATGACAGAAATGAGGAATAAACGAGATCAGCCCGTACAATACCTTACAGAATACCCTTTCTACACACCGTAAAGAAATTTCTTACAGAATACGTTAATACTTATAGAATACCCCTATATGCCTGGTATATACCTTGTTGACTAACAGCTGCATATGTATATATACACCCTACAGAGTACCCCACAATACCCTATAGAATATTTTACAGGAAAAGCATTTACAAAAAGAAAAGATCGGGAGGAGCCCAAAGTCTGAGATTTCCCGAATTAAACTATAATTTACTGGGTAAGGGATTCATATGAAGGAAAAATGCGGAATCTAGGATCTAGGAGCTCCTTGAACAAATCGAAACTTATCTGATAAGGAATACATGTAGAGAACAGGATATTTTATAAAATACGCCCTGCACATACCCTATATAGAATACCATCTACAATACTTGGTAGAGTAACGTACAGGTAGAATACCAATATGTTATACAATTCCCCCAATACCCTACCTTTACCTTCTAGACTACCATCTGGAATACCTTGTAGAATACCTTATAGAAGACCGACTATGTACCGTGTAGGCCACTTTATAGAATGCCATATAGACTACCATCTGGAATTCCCTGTAGTATAACACCTTACAGAAGACCGCCTATGTAATGATTGTAGCTTTTGGGCATGGGATCCTCCATGAAGAAAATCAGGAACCAAAAGGAATAGCTTTACAACTACCTTATACAATACCCCAACTATATACTTTAAAGAGTTTCATCTACCCTACAGAAGACCATCCTAAATAAAGGCTACAGACCCCTTATAGACTTATAGACAACTTATAAAATGACCCCGTATAGACTACTTTATAGAATGCCTTATAGAATACCATTTCGAAAAGCTTGTAATAGAATACCTTACAGAAGACCGTCTATGTAATGTGCTTCATGTAGACCTCAAATATACCTCATAGATTGTCCTCTAAAATACCTTTCCGGATACCCTTAGTAGAATACTTTATAGTATACCCTATCGCATACCCTATAGACAACGATTTTTAAACAAGGAAAATCTGGAGGAGCCCACCTGTTTTGGGCAGGTGTAGCAGTGTGACATGTGAGCATGCGCGAGCGCAGCCTTCAATCGCCGAAAATGCTGCACAGTGCCCGTGATGTACTGTTACAGTTCTTTCGCAACCGACAAATGCAAAAACACGAGGTTTTTGATACTTTGCGACAGTTTCGGCTTTCCGATTACATGAACTGTTATTTTTGTTGGCCGAAATTCGGCTGCAGATTCGTCGATGTGTCGGCACAGGATGCTTCACAGCACGGTTGTATGTATTCGAGGATACAAGCGATAATATCGATATTTACGGCGGTTTCTCTAATAATGACTAGTGATGAAGCCTGCAAGCGTAGATCTGGGGGGAGGGGGGTGACCATGTATATATATATATATACATGTGTATATTATATATATATGTATATACATATATATACATATATATGCTACCCCCTAGAAATACCTCACGGCCTGGCCTAAGTATTGTCTGTACCCTTGCCTCTACAACCCATAAAGCATAACTAACCGTAGCAAGTATCGCTTTTAACTTTGTTACTGTAGTTACTGTGACTCCTAAACAACAAAAACTATTCAAAATAAGCATTATCCCTAGTCCTGCTCGTGCGAATCACACTAGATATATATTATATCCCATCAGACATAAATAGTTTCAAAAGGTATTGCTTGTAACATTGCTCGACAACCCGTAAAGCGTAAATAATGTTCGTACGTCTTGCTTTTAAGCTTTTTGTTGTGACTCCTAACCAACAAAAGCGTAGTTGAAGTAGGTATTATCCTTGTCCAGAGTTTAGTTGGTTTCCGGCTACAGAACATGAAGCCCTTTGAAATCCGATCCAACCTACAACCCATAAACCTAAAATAACTTCACTAAGTATAGTCTGTAATCTTGTTTTACAACCCATAGAGCATACATGATCCTTTCAAATATTGCTTGTAACCGCGTTACTATAAACCTAGACTTACGCCTGCCTCCACGTACTGGGAGAGTGCGCCACCGTTTTCCTTGGATGTTGTTAAAATTACGCTCGCATATCTGCATGCTGTAAGGATGGCGCACGGAAAACGAGCATTACTTAGCAAGGGGGAAACACCTGCACATACCGTTTTTCTGCCATGTGCGCGAGAGTCGTGACTCTTTACATTTCGACCACACGTACTTCAGGCACGTCCTTTCGGAACGGCAGCATGGTCCAAATATCATCTGGCTTCATACATCATGCTGCAGTGGTGCCACACACACACACACTTTTACCACAGGTGCCACTTTCCAAGTGCTGCACTTTTATACTGGTCGAGGGTGAAGCGTATTTTTCATAAAGGTACCGCATGCGGGCACATGCCGCTACATTACGATGCTTTCCAACTGTACACGTGGAAAAGCAATCTACTGTTTCCCGTCTGACGCATAGCGTCGCTGCCTTAACTATCATATTTACGAACCGCTGCATATCAACAATCCTCGTATGATGCCCTCGTGGTAGCCGACATGCTTGCATAGCACCCGGTGGTTGCCCCCCACATCGGGTAGTTTCCACACATCCATCTGGAAGGGGGACAAAGCACTGCGCATCTAAAAGCTCCGGCCATGACTTTCTCCATCTACTTGCTGAGTATCTGATGACGTCGGTCATCGGTGGGCAGGCAGGCTCTGCTGCAGCTCCGCGTTCGGGTCGTGGTACTTCTTCAGGTCTTGCTACTTTTTCAGCTCGACGTATTGGAACAGCTTTAGCGGGTGCTACTTCTTCACCTTGACGTGCTGGAACTGCTTTAGCGTTGCTGCGGCACGAGAAACTGCTTTGTGCTGTAGTTCACGACCTGATAGAGCAGCAGAAGGACTCGGAACACCTCCCTGAGTGGCGGTAGCACTAGAACACCCGTCTTTTAGCAGACGGCGGCACCAGGACAATTCGAAGACGTGCCACTGTTCTCTTCAAGCCTTGTGGTGGAGGTGGTGGTAGTGGAGGCGTGGGTGGTGGTGGTCGTCGTGGTGGTGGTGGTGGTGGGTGGGTGGTGGGGGGTGGTGGTGGTGGTGGTGGTGGTGGTGGTGGTGGGTGGGTGGTGGGTCCAGGCTGGTGAGTTTGAGGGCCTCCTACAGGTAGAAGAAGTTGTTCGTGACTTTCCAGGCGTCCCACAGGAAAAGGTCTTACAAGGCGAGGGTGATTGCGGACGCCACACGCTTGGGAACTTGCAGATTCCAGGTTCCTACATGGTCCTTCATCCTACCTTATTACACGTTGAACAAAGTGTTTAGTTAAGGGTTTAAGGTTTAAGGATGGTGCGTGCAGGTGTTTGAGCCGAACTCTTACTAACCTAGTGGAAGGGATCACACGAAAAGTCACACATGTCGTACATCTGGCGAACCTGTGCAGTAGCACTGAAGATTGCTGAAGATTAAAAGGGGTTTCGGGTTGTGGGTTTTCAATATTGGCTTGTATGGTTATACCGTTATACACCCCTGGGTGATATGTATATATGCTTAATTAACTGCACTTGAACACAACACATAAACTGAATACGATGATACTGTTAGTCGTTTCATCATATTCGGCTGTCTATCGTAAATGTGATAGTACAAACGCTGAGTACGATGATAACTTTGCGTATGTCACATCATCTTGCATAATACGAAAGAAAACTGAATATGATGTGCATTAATGTCGTGATTGTTTCCATAGCACGCACATATACGGATTCCTTTTCCATCGCATCCTCGTATCCGTATATGCATTCATCGGACCAACTGCATCGCGCAGATGTCGCTAAGATATCTACCCCCATCCTCACGCCCAATGACCTCAGCACCTTCACGAGATCATAAGCTTTCGTCAAGGATTCTCGTTCTTCGCAAGGATGGGGGGTTGGAGTACGGAAGCATGTGTTTTCGATCAACTACAGCTATGGAAGCGCAATCATCCAATCATGTAGAGCAACCCGTTCCTCCTGCTCTCACCTCGCACTGCAGCCGTGACCATGTGACAAAGAACATGACAAACCGACGTGTTTTGTGATGATACAGTTATGTAGTATATAGTACTCAATATTGAACATGATAGTCAACACTGATTATATGATTTCCACCGGCTTGTCTGCATTGAAACCGGCACTGAAACATTGAACTTCAGTGCACCCGGGTCCCAGGAACCAAGAACCAAGATGCCCAGGACTCTTGAATCTTGGTTCTTGGTTCTATGGGCCTGGTTGCATTGAGATCTGCATTGAGAAGCTGAAGTTCAATGCCCCCGGGCCCCAGCAACCAAGAACCAAGATGCCCAGGACTCTCGATTCTTGAATCTTGGTTCCACAGGCCCGGCTGCATTGAGATGTGCATGGAAAATTTGAAATTTAGTGCACCCGGGCCCCAGGAACCAAGATCCAAGATTCAAAAGTCCTGTTCTTGGTTCCGCGGGCCTGGTTGCATTGAAATTCAATGTCTCAATGCAGACCCCCATGCAGCCAGCTTACGGAACCAAGAGCCAAGATTCAAGAGTCCTGGGCATCTTGGTTCGTGGTTCTTGGTTCCTGGGGCCCGGGTGCATCGAAGTTCAAATTTTCCTTGCCGGCTTGGTTGCAAGTATCCGCTAATCAAGTGACAAGACATACTCATGCGTATAGTAGTATGTGTATATATATATATATGTAGATGTATGTATAGAATATACAAAATCGTATATATCACAATGCAACTTGATGTAAGCAAGCGTTGGATGTAGGTCTTGTGGGGGTTACCATGTGTGTGTGTATATATATATATATGTTTATTTATTTATATGTAACCACAAACACACACGCACACAAGAACACACACGCACACACACACACAGACAGAGACAAATTCAGGTAAAAACACTTTATGGCGTTTTACGGCGTTACACATCATTGAGCGTTATTGTTGTTCCTTTTAAGCACATCGAAGAATATATGCCGAGGGTGTGTTCAAATGGCATTTCAATCACAATGCGCATGAGCTGTTTTAGGTCTTCCTCTCCTCTCTCTCTCTCTCTCACTCTTGCTCTCTCTCATGGGCAGAAGCCGATTCTTCGGGCGGTCCCCGAGAAACAGTCTACAAATTCTTTTCCCCTGCTCTATTCCAGGGAGGCTCTGACAAGATTGTTGTTTAAGGGGTCTTCCGATACATAATTAAGACTCGAAAACTGCAAAAGCTTGGGGTTTTGTCTTGTGCGAGTGCGGAGTAGTACTTCAGCAAATCACGAAAACCCTGTGTTTCATGCAGGGTTCGCAGCAGGGAAACCAGTTAGATGGTATTGGCAGCCCTTCGTGCACCTCGTTTACTCGCCGAATCCTCACAGTCTTGGTATGTCTTGGAGCTGTGTTTCGGCTAAGATTTTGGGACCGGTTCAAGTTGACGGTTCAAGGATTCAAATATTGGGTTTGAGCATGAAGGGGCACTCCAGCTTGTTGAGACGTCATTCAGAGATTGCCATTGTCGTCTTCAACCCGACGAATCATCATCAACAACAACATCATCATCATCTCTCATCACCATCATTATCATCATCACCGTCATCATCATCTCAACATCGTCATCAGGTTGTCATGATCATGTCGCCATCGTAATATCGTGATCACCATGTCGTCATCATCACGTCCCCATCGTAATGTCGTGATCATCATACCCTCCCTCGCCTCACCCCACCCCACCCCCAGCTTCAACCAAGGTCCAAACTTAGCTCCGAAATCCAACTTCCGAAGTCTAAAGTAGTTCCCGAAAATGCTCCAGGAACAAACCTTTTCGGAGCGTCTCTTTCCGAATGGACCCAGAGAAAAGGTTTTAAGAAACTTTTCCGTGTGCTCGGCTTCCACCGATTGGCATCTTAGCGACCTCTCGATACTTTCAGCTTGCGACCATCGGAAAAATGTTGTCGGTTTTTCGGAGCTCCCGATACTTGCGGTTTGCAACCGTCACGAAGTATCGAGACGTCCCTGAAAAAAACCAATCTTTTCGTAGCCTCTCTCTTTGAATGGACCTAGGGAGTAGCTTTTTTTGGATTTTCAGCGACCTCTCGATGGATTCGGCGTTCCTCTGGGGACCTCTCGATATTTGCAGCTGGCAACCTTGAAGTGGCTCTGCGGTTGTGATACCTCAGCCTATGGCCTATGTGTGGAGTTGGCATCACTCCAGGTAAATGTTTCATGCCCCTTCCTACGCGCCTTCGAAACACAGCTGTGTGACTATCTACAGGTCCATACCTGGTGAAGTCAGAAAATGAAAACATGTTCCCCAAATCACGTAAATCATGACAGTCTACCCAAATGCCTTGCACTATGACATGCGCACATTCAATTTACACACGCGTGATGGCCTGTGGCGCTGTAAAGATGCGTTCGTTTTGATCATGCGACAAACCTCGTCAAGTTTTCGCAGTGTACGGCATATTACGGTATGTGAGTATATATATATATGAGGATATATATATATATATCACGGTAATACATAATAAAATAAAAAATGTAACAAATTATAATTTTATATTATACTGTATCTTATCTTATAATATAATCTAATCTAATAGAATAGAATAGAATAGAATCGAATATAGTCTAATGTAATATAATCTAATATAACCTAATATATTGTGACATAATCTAACATAATCTAATATAATCTAGCATAATCTAAGACAATCCAATAAAATCTAACATACTCTAATATAATCTAGTATCGTCTGTAATACAATATAATCCAGTATAATATAATTCAGCATAGTATAATATAGTCTAATATAATCTTATGTATATATATATATTATAATATATATATATATATTATAATATATATATATATGTGTGTGTATATATATATATATTATAACATAATTTGATATGATATGATATGATATAATATAGATAATACAGTATAATGTGAAGATAAATACATACAGTAGGCGGAGCTTGAAGACTCAGCCGCTCGCATTTTAGCACAGATCATCGCGGCAAGCTTGGGACACCTGCGGATGCTTTGCATTGCCAAGGAGAGCATGGCAGAAAGCCAATACTGGTATCAGAGGAGGGAGAAGAATGTGAGACTTGGTCGCACACCTCACCTGTGTCTTGCCATTGACAAACACGACCTAGTTGGGTGTCCAGACACGTCGGGCATCATTTGTTTGCCGCACAAAGTACGCTGACATGTTCACCGTCACGCAGCTCACTCACGACTGACACGAGTCTCGTTCCTAGGCAAGTGGGGAAGGATCCCACTGCAGTAACTGTTGAGGCCTGTTAACACGACAAATCGTGCAGCATGGCATTCTCCCGAGACCAGATGGTTACGCTTCAGGTGGCTAGAGTTACCTGAATATGAGAGGTCAAGCACGGCATACTTTCCTGTGCTTAATGATGTCAACAGCAAATCATCTGATGTGAGGCGTCCCAATGCGGCCTTTAGCCATTACATGGCGAACTGGCCTTGCATATGGGGCGAGGACAGGTCGCACAGCCAGTGCATGGGTCCCGAGCCTCCAGGGGCCTTGAGGCCCATTTTGCCTTTTTTGATTTGGGCTTCCCTTATTTACAGCGAATATATACTGAAAAAAGGGACCCGTATTATTAAGGGGGTATGGGGGAACCAAGAAGAGAAGACCAGAAGGAAAGAGACAACACACCAACGGCAGGATGCGTAGAGAGATCAGGGATGGAAAAGGGGCAGGGAAGGCGGAGGAACAAACACTGGCCCCTTGTTACGGCCCCACTGAGGCCCAACTTGTGAGCAGATTCCACATGAATCCGAAGAGCGCATGCTCAATGACTTGGTGCGAATGTTTGTAGTAAGTGTTGCGAAAAACTCAATCTGACTCTCTCTTCTGGAACAAGGCCTCTCTTCTCACCACCAACTGAAGCGAATCAAACCAATACCTCGCAGTGCGCAGCCAGAGAAGTCAGAGTTCCTCAAAGAATTCAGACCAAATTTGACCTGTGATCTTACGGTTGCCTTTACGGTTTCTTGGTGAGCCCCCAGCTCGAACCTCGGCGACATCCCGAGCACAGCCTTTGAAGCCTTTGATTCTGATCTTGGCCGACGATTGCAACGCTTTGGGTTTCGGTCAGGGTCGTGGGAGCTTGGCTTTCAGGACTTTCGTCGCAAATCCAGGTTTCTGCAATCGCACGACATGTAGGAGTACGTCGGCATCGGTGCTGGAGACGGCAACAAGTACCTCTCCGGCAGACAGCAGTTGAATCGCTCTAAGGCTTAAGCTTTCTCAGAGAATCTGTGAGATGTTCCCCAGTGCATGGCGTTTGCAAGTCGCATGAAGGTGCACACTAGTTTGTCATGCACGTCCAGCACGCAAAACCATAATGGCTGTCTAGTCTCGCTCTGCATTGCACACCGATTGGCTGTGTCAAAGCGGCAATTCGATCTTCAAGCTCGGGCTTCGTGTTGATTTGATTTGCCTTCGTGTTCCCCAAACCTGGTCGTCCAAGCTGCTCATTTCAGTGGTTCCCTCGCCACCTCGGTCCTTTGGTCCTTGGTGAGCTTGCTGGTTCGAGGCCATCCGAAGCTTACGATTCGTGTGCCACAGGTGGATGTGCGGCGCTCGGCTTATACAAAAGCCCTGTGTCGTCTACTCCTTCGGCTCCAACAGGAACATTCAGCTGCTGGGATGATAATTAAGGTGAAGCAGACGATTCGGAGGCTGCGCGAAGCCAAATCCGTTCGAGAAGTGCGTGTTGCAGAACTCGACATTTCTGGATAAACGAAAAAGGCAGGTCGCACAGACGTGCGCACAAGATTGCGCCGAGTCCCCAAAGTTTCCCGGGCCAGCTCAGGTTCGAGAAAGGCATCCACAACTTGGGTGTGAACTGCGAAGTTCACATCTACGACCCGACATCATCTGCGCCGCATGAAGCGATACAGCTAGGCTGGCACCTGTCATCCGAGGGTTGTTGGTTCGAGAGTTTTTGAGCAAGCGACGCTTTCACGTCGGAGGTTGACTGTTTTTGCTTTGCGAAGCTTGTTGAGCCAATTGCGGTGACCTTGGTACCTGGACAAGAGTGTGCTCGAAGAGTAGCTTTTGAGACTTGTACCAGAAGACCCCTGCAGGTTTTAAATACCACCGCACTGGCCTCGGAGGCACTGATGGCTGGCAGCCTCTTGGTACACCAGAACCGGGACAGTCCTCCAGCCCACGGCCTTTCCTGAGGCGCTTCAATGAACTACCGAATGCTAGAATCTCCAATTCTGACAGCTATCCAGTGCGACGCAACAGCTCTACATAGACCTATGCGGGCCGCCGATGCGTTGGACCCCCAACTTGTTCGCAAGACCGTTTTGAACCAGAAAGGGGCTTGCCACAGCGGGTAGCCTGCGCCCACAGCCATGCCATGCGATGCCCAGGAATGGGCTCCCTGTCAAAACTCTGGCCACGCTCATGCAGCTCTGCTGAAGTTGTATCGGCGTTTGGGTTGAAGGTTGATTGGCAGGCTTTCTGAAGACATGGGCAGGTCGTTTCAGAACTGCAAAATCCATGATTCAAAGTGAGCAAGGCACGAGCTTTACAAGCTAGCGCGATTGGTGTGAGAAACACTACTGGCACACGCTCAGGGCTGGGGAGAGAGAGATCTCTGGCTGCGTGTGAGAATCGCTGGAGTTAATCTGCCTTTGCCGTCAGCAGCACGAGCCTCGAAGCCCAAGCTAGCCCGAGAGAAGCGAGGCATGCCATACGAACATGCCCAGGGCACCTTCCGGTCTGCAGGGTTCAGCAGCACAGCATCCGCAGACGCAGTTTCACAGGCAACACTTGACACCAACGAATTTTGCATGCTTTGTGGCAAAGGTGTGTAGCGGAACCCTACGCCATGGACCCCAGGCTCTTTTGGCAGGACGACCAGATAGTCGTCGACAAGGATGGCATCCCCCACTACACTGGTGCCCGTCCTGAGCTGATGAAAGACTACTGCAGGACGGTGCTTTTCGCTTTTTCGAAGCTGGAGGGCAGCGGCGATGACGAAGCTAAGCAGAAGAAGAGCTTCGAAAAGAAACAGCGCAGATTTGCAAAGAGCCTCATGGACAACCTCCACGATGAAGCCTGGCGGGTGTGCCAGGAAAGACCGAGGCCTTTGATAACTTCTTCGATAACACACTCGCCGAACGGCCCCGCGAAGGCGTTGAGGGTGTCGATTTTCGACATGCATGAACGAGAGAAGGTGACGAGTGGCAACAGCCGGTCCACCGGAAGGGCGGTCGTGGCATTCCCCGACGACACCATGCTCACGTCGTCGAGGAGGAAGCGGCCCGGACGTGTACTATGCGAATGCGGCCGGGGATAGGAGCCGAGGAAGCCGAAGAGACCGAGCCATGGGACGTGGGGGCCAGTGGTGACGATGACGTCTACGAGGCCTATGCCACCTACAAAGACTCGAGCAAACGGCTCAAGGACCTCCAGAAAAGCTGAGGCTTTCACAAGGCCAAGCCGGCACCCGAGAACTTTGACGAGCGCAAAGCGGCCATCGAGAAGGAGAAGGCGAGGTCCCGCTGCGCAGCTTTCGGGAGAGTTGGTCATTGGGCCGACGGAGTCTGCTCCAAAGGCTCTGGGACTCTGGGCCCAAGTTCAGCAAAGGAGGCAAGCCCGGGAAGGGCAAAGGTGGAAAGGGCGCGGGAACAAGGGGAAAGCCTACTTTGCTTGCGAGGAGCCCTTGTTCTTCTCCCTTCGTGACTCCGAGGCGGACGGCTTTTGCAACATGGTCCTGGAAGGCCCGGCCAGCAGCGATGAGGAATGATGAGGACCATGACGAGGCCGGGGATATGCAGCAGGACAGTGGCGACACGGAGTTGGATGTGAAGAGGAAGCCGGCCGTGTGACTAAGGCCGTGGACCGCGGCTACCTTGAGGAGATCCCGGTGGCCCCCGAGTTCCCCAAGGGCGACAAGACCGAGCAGGTGACGCTGACCGGCCCCAATGAGCAGAACTCGGAGAGAGGTTGGATCGGGTGATCCCTGCAAACTTCGCGAACATGAAGGTCAGAGAGCTTCAGGTTGAGTGTGACCGTTGGAGCATACAGACCAGGGGCACGAAGGACGAGCTGAAAAGCCGCCTCGACGACTGCTTTGCGGGTCAGGCGGCTGTACCACAAAGAGCCACACCTCAAGTACTACGACCGCGAGTGCAGCCGCTAGCAGCCAAAGTGCGTCAAAGCCCAAAGGCAAGGGGGAGATCAAGGAGCCGAGCTGTATATTTCGAAGTTCCGGACCGATGGCACAAGCCGAGCCTGCAGGCTACACGGCCGGACCCACAGCATCCACTACAAGCCCGCGCCCGACGACAACACCTACTACCAGCCCGGCGCCCAACGACGATGGCTAGCAGGACCCCGACGACGGAGGAGCGGCGCCCAGGCCCACGTTTCGATGCAAGTCTTCAGCGGGAGAGGGAGGTTTGCCTGGACTACAACCCGGACAGTTACTTCGAGCTCGCAAGGCCATTTATGGTTTGCTGAAGCAGCCAGACTCTTCTGGCTGGCCTTGAAGGAACATTTGGAATGTGACGGCTGGGTTGTAAGCAAGCTTGAGCCAGCCTTGTTTTACCTTCGACGGCAAGGGCAGCAAGAAAGGTATCCTGGTGACCCACATGGATGACATCGAGGGCGGCGTCCATCCGAGCTACCTCGACAAGGCCTTCTACCACTCGTCGAAGGCCCTGGAGTTCGCAACGAACCACTTCATGGACTTCTTTTTCGAGGCTGCTGAGGCACGAGGGGCATGTTGATGTGGCTAACTATGAGGAATTACGCTTTGTCGACGAAGGTTGTGCCCATCGCCCGGGACCGGAAGAAGGAGCTGGCTTCACCTCTGGGCGCGGCCGAGATGGAGCTGTACCGGAGCTCCGCAGGAGAGCTGAGATGGATCACCTGACAACTTCGCTGCGACCTTGCCTATGAGAGTGGGGTTATACAGAGGGCCAAATCAGAGGTCCTGGTCAGGCTAAAGCAATATGTGGGCCAAGCAAGGCGGAGCGCGGATCGTCGGTCACGCCAATGGCACCCCGGACCACAATGAGGCCCTGAAGTACAGGAGCGTCGGCGGCTACTTCATCCTGATTGCCGACCCGGAGATCCTGCAAGGGAAACCTGTGAAGGCGAACATCCTGGCCTTCCACAGCGCCATGACGAAAAGAGTTTGCAGCAGCACCCGGGCGGCAGAGGCAAGTCGTTTGGCAGTCATTTTGCCGAGGCGGTGGAAGCTGGTGATTGGATCACTGTTCTTCTGGAGGAGGCCTTGACAGGCTCCCTAGACCTAAAGAACTGGCCGGAGATCATTTGGAGGTGTAGGTGACCGACGCCGGATCCGTCTGCGACTACTTGGCCAAAGATGCGAACAGCACGTCGAGCGACAAAAGTATGGCGATCGAGGGCGCTTTGCTGAGAGATGCTGTACGTCGCCCACACTCACACGTGAGATGTATTGACGGGCAACAGAACATCGCGGATGTGCTGACGAAGGAGAAAGCAGACAAGGCGAGCCTGCAGCAATACCTCCGAAACGGACTTCTTTGACTCACTCAAACGGAGGCGAACCAGGAGCTCAAGGAGAGGAAAGTGGTGCAGCGAGCCAGCCAACACAGGGAAGCGCAAGTCGAAGCCCGAGTCCGCTCCGCCGTGGTCGAGGCCAAGGACATCCTCCTTTCAGAACCGAAAGGGGACAAAGACAAGGGCTGACGGCAACCATAAAATTACCAGTGTGAGAATCGCTGGGTTTATCTGCCTTTGCATTCAGCAGCACGAGCCTCGAAGCCCAAGCTGGCCCGAGAGAAACGAGGCATGTCATACGAACATGCCCAGGGCACCTTCCGGTCTGCAGGGTTCAGCAGCACAGCATCCGCAGACGCAGTTTCACAGACAAGACTTGACACCAACGAACTTTGCATGCTTTGTGGCGAAAGCGTGTAGTGCGCTGCCAGTGCGTCGCCGCACTGTGTAAAACGACGCTTCAGGCTTGCGCATAGTCTGTCCTTCAGCGAGCCCTGGCGCACTCAAGACAGCCCCAGCCGCGGGCCGACAATGTCGGTGCACCCTGAAAAGCTTGCAGCCGAGGAGAGAAAACGGTCACAGCCATCTGGATGTCCTGAAGGCTTTGGAGTCTCGAGCGTTTGCAGGGCAGCTGGGCTGGGTTTTTTGCATGCCGTGGCTTGTGGGTGCTCAGCATGCACCATTCGTATCCCTCGGCGCCAATGACAGCAAAAAAAAGTTCATGGGAGACGTGCATGCGTTGAAGCCCATTGCGACAGGTGGACATCGAACGCGCGGAGCATGCAGCTGTCAAACAGATCGCCCGCCTGCCTGGTTGAGGATGTACGGCAGCACATCACACTGACCTCGTGCATGGTGTTCTGGAAAACTGTGGGGGTTGAGCTACCAAGCCGTCCGACTGCCTAAGCCCTGGACCCTCCGCCACTGCAGCTGCGATCATCCACACGGACTTTGAAATGGGTAGATACTTGTAGCCGGGGGGTCTATATATGCCCCAAGAGAGGGGACATTTAGATAGTTGATTATTAGAAAAACATCGTTGCCGCTCCGCGCCAGGCAAGTGATGGTTGGCCGTCTGTGGGTCAGTTTTTGGTCGAGGCTTGGCTTCTCCGACTGCAGCATGGACCCTCATTGCACGCAGCAGAATGGGCAAGTCGAGTCGAGCCCAGCAGTTTCCTGTGCAGGTCCACATAGACAGCGATGCCCCGCAAGCGAGACGAGCTCAGATTGGTGTTGCGAGAGTCAGATCAGATGCGACATCATGCTGGGACAACCTCGAGATTCCAATTAAAGGAGAACCTGTGGTCAAGCCACTAAGGTAGCCTGCTAGCACCCTTAACTTCAGGTATTTAAAGGCACGCCCCATCCACCCTGCACTGCCCCGCATCGAGGAATCGCAAATTTCGTTGCCATCCCAACGCAATGAGGGACATCTGGGGTGTTACGAGTTTAGAATCTAGAATCTAGGGTGGCGTTGGGGTTTTAGGATTGTCACAAGGATCTAGAATTTGGGGTCTTAGGTTTGAGATTTGGGATACATAGGCAGGCTACGTAGGGCATGGTTTAGTGTGTAGTCCCAGGTCCCCGCTCGGCAATGTGGGGATCTCTGGCAGATCGCTCGATGAGTTCTTCGGCAGAGCCTCTTTGCGGATTTGCAGTTCAGGGCACGTAGGGTTAGGAGTTTGGAGTTTAGGTATCATGGCCAGCGCCCCCGCAGAAGCCTCCGGCAGAATTCCTAGCCAGGATGTCGGGCATCGAGTAGGATCGAGAACAGTTCCCCGGCGCCGTGCCTTTACCAAGCCATCTGAGATCGAGAGAGCAAATTTGCGGCTTTTCCACCAGGACCTTGTGAGTGCTGAAGCGTCTTTTTCCCACTTGAGTTACATGCAGGAAATCAGATCACATGTGGGGTGGGAGATCGGGAACGGGCAGATGAAGCATTCGGCTTTGGTCGCTGACCCTATAGTCCCCCTGTACCAGACAACACTTGTCTTTGGATTTCAGGGTTTGGCATTTATGGCGGAGCGTCCCGAATGTGTGTTTCGACTTCGCGTTTTGAGCTGAGTCACAGCTTAGATCTTGTCTTTCCGATCTGAAGTCTGGTGCGGTTCTGTCGATGCTCGGCTCGAGTTTGCACGTCCAAGACTTTTTGTTTCTTGTTATAGAAGACACAGAGGGCCTGAGTTTATGCTTGCGGCCCCATTCCAAGCTTTACACTCCGGATTCTCCTGGGACAGAGTTTTTTTGCACGTGAGCAGCGCGAGGAGCTGAACTGGGAGTTCGGTGCTACGTGTTGTTCGGAGTATCCCGGCTGTATGTGAACACGATCGCGGGTCACACTCCTATGTTCTCTGTGCTCTGCTGTCAGCGATGTCAGCGTCCTTGCGAAACTAGAGGAAGACGTTCAAGCAAGACAATGACCGGTTGATTGATCTCGGATCACCATTGCAGGTACTCCTTCATCCACAAAGATTGGCAGCCGGAGACGAAGATGTGCCCAGCCGGTTGTTCGAGTGCCACGATGATAAGGATGATTACGCTGAAGATGATGATTACAGATGGTGATGATGATGGTGATGGTGTTGATGATGATGTTGATGACGATGACGGTGATGGATGGATGGACGGAGGGAGGGAGGGAGGGAGGGAGGGATATGATGAACACGACGATGACGCTGACGACAGTGCTGGTCATGATGACGTTTATTTTGCCTTGGTTGATTTCATTACCATTATCACCACGGCCGCCGCCACCATCATCATCATCATCATCATCATGGTAATCCTTGCTTGCGCTGGCTGGCTTGATCTATCCTTACTTGGTGGGCCTGTCGATGCAGTGCAAGGTACGACATGCAAACGGCTCCCACGTATCGAGATGTGCCGCATCTTGGGCTGCTCCCGAGAAACCTTTTGTACTTCGTCTATGTCCCATCACGCACTGAAGCCATTCTTTTCGAAGGATCGGGCGCCACATGACAGAAGTTGCATGCAAAATACGTGTACCACTAGGTTGTCTTTTTTAGTCTTCAGACCAAACAGAGGCATGGCACTGCAGGGCCTGGAGTGTAAGGGGTGCTGCAGGACCTGGTTTAAGAGCTCCACATGCCCGCTTAGCGAGTGCTTCAACAAGGCTCCATGATCAACGCCCCCGACGCTGACACTCCAGGGCAGGCTCGCCAGCCTTGGAATGGCGTGAGAGCTTGGCCTTCAGCGCAGCGGCATGGGGAGAACTGCGGCAGAAGCATTGCAGGGGCTTGCGCCTGATCCAAAGACTGATCCATGGCAAGAGCCCTTCACGTTGGGTGGAGCTTCAAAGTGCTGTGCCTCCCAGGATGACTCATGTAGAAGCAGTATAGGAAGATAGGAAGAGGCCAGCATTCCCAGGAGGCTCTGCAGGTACCTGCTACAAGCTGCCTCATGACTTCCTGGAGTCCTGTGCAGTTTCTTCGTCTTGCAATTCCTGACCTTTCCCTGTGTAAGAGGGCCTTCGAAGGGTTGCTTGTGCTTGGGAATGCTAGGCCAGGATATTCTTGAACTCTCAGGAGCCCTGCACGGCTCCTCCGTTGCCGTACTTCCAGTAAGCTTGATTGTACAGGCGAGGGTATGTACAAAGATGTGTTTGTTGCTACACTTGGCGTTTGGCAAAAGGTAATGATGGCCATTGCTGACCGCTGCTGTCCACAGCATGACACTCTGTAGAGTTTTCCGCTAGCCTATTCATGCTTTGAAAAGACCAAAGTTCTGAACGCATGCAGGCTTCTGGTTTCGCAAAGCTACATCTGTATATGACTTCAACTCATGGCTTTCGCTTGCTGTCAGGCGCTCTTGCCACTCTCCCCGCAGGGACAGACTGAAAGCCATGCTTCACATCATGACAAGAAAGGTGCCGCGGAGAAAGCTCGCCTGCATGAAGACCGAATGATCATGCTAGAGGCAGAAAGGAGCATGCCAAAGCATGAATGTCGTTCCCCGTAGGCCCCAGCAAAGGAACCCATAGAGGCAACAAGGCAGCTGAGTTGGCTTTCATCGCAGGATTGGTCTTGGTCGTAACAACTGAAACAGCCTCGCGCAGGGCCGACCGGTAAGCGCGGGCAGAAAAGCAGAAGCTGTGCCAGGTGCCCGAAGCTGCTTTCACGCGTGGGGATTTCTCGGTTCGGGAGGGTTCCGTTGCTTCGGAGCTCAATCCTTCAGCGATAGCTCGCAACAGACACTGTACTGCAGAGCTTGCGAAATCACGAGCCATTCCCCTAAAGGCCGGCACGGCTGGCCTACGTAGAATTTCTGGACTTCCACTGACGGGTCTACCCAGGCCGAAAGCTTCGCCGTGCGGCGACGCCGCATCCCCGGCTGTGAGACTCCGAAGGCTTTCGTCATGTCAGAGGCCCTTAGGCACGTGAATGTCATCTCGCGGTCTGATGGAAAGAAGGCCCAGCAGTCTCGACTCTCCTGTGATGTGCAGCCCAGGTATTGTCCTATGGAGGTCGCCAGAAGCGCAGGTTCGGGCTTAAAAGCAGGGGATGTTCCTTCGCTGATGTCTCAATCACGAAAGCTAGCTCTCTGGAGCTTGCGGGAGTTGTCGTGTACCATTCACTTAGGTAGTAGAGAACTAGGTCCAAAGTGCATGAAGGGGGGAGGGTAGTTAAACGGGGGGGCCATGCCACCAAGCAAATGATTGATATGGAGCCAATAAGGAGGGTGGTCCCCCCACCTCAAGGTCCATAATGGTCCATCTGTTTAAGCAACATGGCAACTTGCGTTGTGTGCCTGCGTGGCCGAGTGCGTCCATGCAGCAGGTTTCACGCCTGACCCCATAAGCTAAGCTGCCACCAGGACGGACAGAAGCTGCTCGTAGATGGCCGAGTTATTGCTTACGCAGGGACACTCCGACTTGCAATGCAGTCGGTCAAGGCACTGCAATACGAAAAGGGTGTATCCGTATGTGGGCCGGTGCGAGCTTAAGTTTCATGGCACTAAATACACGCTTGAGCTCTATCGACTCTGGTTCCTTGTTGTTGCCCTAGCTTTTGTGGCCTCTTCTCAAGTCTGATACTTTGAACTCTTTCAGAGCTCCTTTGCTTGGCAGTCCACTCGCAACCCCAACGCTCTGCACATCGCTCGGGTGCGGCGCTTGGCATTGCCATGGGCGCGTGCAGTCTAAGGACTTCTGCACGAAAATCGCCTAGCCACTCTACGTGCAGGTTGAAGCCAATCAGAGGCGGCCAGCCGGGGCCGGGACCCTTGCGTCTCGGCAGAGCGGTGCACCGTCGCGGCAGTCCCAGAGCATTGATGTGGTCAACAGTCCCAGTGGTGTCACCAGTGATATTAGAACGCCAACGACACACTACCATGTGAAAAGCCAACTGCCAGGCACCATGAAGGCACATTGTCCGCCCGGCTCATATAGCGGGTTGCGATCGAGGCCATAGTGAACATTCCTGCCCTGAACCCATGTTTCGGTGCGCACTAGCAGCTCGAAGCTAAGGCCGAGAGCACAGGAGCCGCAACACAGGGGTCGCTTCGGCGTTGTGATGCCAGAGTGTGGAGTCAGGCGTCCGTGTGAACATCTTGGGCCTCTTGGGATTTGCATTCTGGCACGCGTTCCCCTGTGGAGCAAACTGGTCTTTTTTCGGTCAGAGGTGGAGAAAGTTGGAGCTACACATGTCATTATTGGCCAGCCGTAGCAAATGGCAGGAGCCCATGCTCCCGCCACCCGCAGAAGTCGAGGCTTGCTACTGCAACACTGTGCCCACGGCTATGCTATCAGACTATCAGGCCCATCAGAATTCTGTACCCGGCAAGAGATGGAGGCCCTGACGAGCCGTCCCACATTTCCCACGACGAGGGAGGACCATGAGGAGGCGTACCCTGGCTGAGTTCAGAAGTTTCCTCCCAGGAAGCCGGCCCTTCCCTGAAGCGGCCTTACCTTCGCTCTACGCAGCCCTTAGACCAGAGTCGCATAGGCTCCAGCGTTGGGTTGCCACATGTAGCATGGGCGTGCAGGAAGAGCATCTAATTCATGAAGGGCAACGGAAACTCGCCATCGCCCAGCCTGTATTGTCTGGCCTTCTATTGTAATGAGAGTAGTGTGGTGTGGTGCAGTGTAGTGTGGCGCAGTGTATTGCATGTCATGGTGTGTGTTGTATGTTGCTAAGACATTCTGATCATTCTGGATACTGAAGTCCAATGGCTTTTGATGATTCAGTTTGTTGGCTCGGTAATACAGCAGGTCGCCGGCATGTTGAGATGTAGGCACTGCGGTTTCCCCGTTTCAACTTGAATGCCGCACTGTTCCTTTCAGGGCTTTCCGACTGCCCCATCC